CTTCGCCAAGGGAGTTCCAAACGCTTATACGAGACAGTAATGCCCTACACCCTTCAAAGAACACACTTCAACACTCTGCCCTTTGAAGGGAGTAGGGCATAGGGGTGCTCACTTCCGTTTGGAATTCGCCCATTGTCATGCTGGAGCTGCAGGAAATGATGTCATGGCAACACTGATTGGCTGATGGCACCACAAGAACTTAAAGAATCTCAAACTCATAATTAGCGACTATCCTCATGCAACAGCATACAACTGTTTGAGATGTATTGTTGCATAATATATACTGTTTTACATACACTGACAGTATTTAAGTGTAAAATATGCAGTAAGCTTGTATGCTATGCAAGTTTTCTATTCTGAACATAATTACTAATGTATTTTTATTTACTTCAGTTGAAAGTGTCAGATGTAGTTGTACTTCAGTTCTGATCGTGTTGATGTGACTTCACTCGGTCTTTATGTGCCACATGTGTTTGTATTTAAAATGGGAAAGTAGATGTAGAAGATTTAGTACGTTGGTCCTCATGTTGAATTTGGCCTAGTTCTTCATGCTCTCTGTAGTACAGTCTCGTTTCTAATGAGCTGCCAGACAGGAGGATTAGCCTGCAATAGCAATAATACTTTCTTGCTATCGCTTGGTTTCTCAAACTCACCCAATTTCCATTCTATAATCTTGCTCCATTTTTAAATACACCATCCCTTCTTCATTAGCCCTTATCTTCTTGCATAGTTCTCTAATTAATTATTGAGCCATTGGTTGTTTCAGGCTTTTGGTGTCTGTACCTAATATGGTTAATCATTACGTTTTCAGGCAGTAGTTTGATGTTTCTTCAACAGTGGGCACTTTTTAAAAAAAAATTAACTCTCCTGCACACTTTTCACACTCTCATTAGTTTATAAAGATATTGAACCTCAGCTTTACTGTAAAAAGGTTATGTTTTATTAAGAGACCGATAGCAGATGGATGCTATGCTGGTGATTTCCACAGTCATTAATGCATAGTTCACATTCTCTGCTTCCATATTCTGAGGCGGTTAAGTCAGGTGGTTAAGGAAGTTCTGGAGTTCAACCAAGAAGGAAACCTTCTTTGCATTTTCCAATAGCAACTGCAGAAGAACAGTTGTTAAATGTTTCACATACCTTGTTGTTCGATGCCTGAGCAGCTGCCTTGCCCCCACCTGTTTAACCTGTGGCCTGTCATCCCAGTCAACCATCAGTCCATCCGCAGTCTTCTGTTGAATCAGGACGATGTGTTGTGTCTTAGCATTGGTCTTAAACTTAGGATCGATGTTAAGCTATTTCGTTGAGCTGTTTGCATTATTTTTTTTTTTTTAAGTATCACAAAATTCATGCTAATGCAGTGTTTAAGTCTGTAAACTTAAGTCAGAATGATTCCATGTTTAATTTGACATGAACAAAAATAAGCTGTGAGGAACAAAAGTGTTGTCCATTCCAGTTGTGAAGTTACCATTTACTTATTGCTAAAGAAATTTACTATGACTGGTTTATTTTAGCACCTAAGAACATCAACTACCTGAACAACATACCATGTTAAGTTACACAAATTGAATTACCCAAACTATTTTTGCTTTTGTTTTTAGTTTTCAGCTAAATTAAAACTTTCATTTCAGTTTCGGTTAATTGACTATTACATTAATTCCCAGTAGACAATATCTGAGGAAAACGGGGGTTGCGAAGATTATATGCAGCAGAACAGAATCAACACTGAATTGACAGCAGAATTGATCTCTGTGTTGCAAAATTAAATCAGTATTTTCCTGTTTATCCCTGTAAAGCTGCTTTGAAACAATCTGTATTGTATAAAGCGCTATAGAAATAAAGGTAACAAAAGATTTCTGAATACATTGTAAAATTAATAATTAATTTTTTCCTTCAGTTTTTTACCACCTAATTTTGTTTGTGTGAAATTAAATATGGTATCTAATCTGACTAATGGCTGTACTACTATCTTGAAATTCACTGCATCGTTCTGTGTGAGGCCAGTGGCTCAACACTCTCCACTCACCACCAGTAAACTTTACGACATAGTTGTTGAATAGCTCTTAATGCTCAGTGAATCATTGCTGAGTGGGTAAGGCTAACCTGAGGTCAGTGCTGAGCTTGGGTTGAGTAGACACTATTCCCATAGTAATGCGGATTGATGGAGTGTCAGCGAAAGCATGTCCTTGTTCATATTTGTCACCGTGTCGTCTATTCATTTCTGTACATTTGCTGACCCTTGGGTGAAGAGTCACACCTCCATACAATGACCCCACAGGCTCCTTTTTGGCCCCGACACTCAGAGAATGCTCACATGGAGTGGGTGCCTCCTGGGAATCCCTGTACTTTTGGCTCGAGGAATGAGAAAGGGTGGAAAGAAAAAGGGAAAGAACAAAGAATTAAAAAAAAAAAGAAGTGCTCTGTCATACAGTGGGAATCCATTAGTATGCTTGTCCTCCTTTTTACTGGGTCAGTGAGCTCATGAAACATTAAGCGCAAGGCATGTCATGGCCAAGAACTCTGTTTGTGTGAGTTCTAATAATCTTACGTTAATCAGAATCAGAATCAGAATCAGAAGAGCTTTATTACCAAGTATGTTTACACACACAAGGAATTTGACTTGACGACAGGAGCTTCTAGTGTAGAAGAAAGTACAAACATAGTGCAGACATACATGATAGTGCAGACATACATAGGAATAACACAGTAGGGATGTAATATAACACTAATATAATAAAAAAAGAAAAATTAGAAAAATGTAATAATGTACTATATACAGAAATAGAAGTATAGGAAAAAATGAATTGTTTAGATAAATGTACAGATATGTTTATTAGTGTGCAGATATGTTATTTACAAAGTGTGCAGTTTAATATAAATCTATAATCTATAATATATAATCTATATATTTGCAAAAGTTTAGATAAATTATGTTTATTAGTGTGCAGATATGTTATTTACAAAGTGTGCAGTTTAATATAAATCTATAATCTATAATATATAATCTATATATTTGCAAAAGTGATTCTGTGTGAAGAGATATAATCCATGCATAGATGAGAACAACTTCCAACTGCCTTTTCCCCCTTCACCTCTTCTTTATCTTTCACTGAGTTTCATTCATTAGCAGTTAAATGTTGCATACTTGCATGAGAAGATTCTTTTACCAAGTTACCATCTTCACAACAGGAACAAATACACATTATTTTTTTCTTTCTCTCATTTTAATGTAGATGAATCCAGGTTTTTCTAAATGCAGAAGTGTGCGCCTGCAGTTAGTAATTTGCATAAAGCACCCATAGACTGTATAAAAACATGGACATGTGACGTCACCCGTAGGTTTCCGAAGAGCGTTTTTGAAGCCTAAAGTAGGCGGAGACGGCCGTCGCCATCTTGGTAGCGCGTCACCGCGCGTCACTCCCGGATAATCGAAAATGGGTAAAGAGGCGGGAGCTGGTTGCTGAAACCACGCCCACCTAGCTTGACGGTGGTGACAGCAGCGGCAATCCACCTGTCACTCAAGTGGCCACGCCCTTAATTATGCAGAACTTTTGCATAACATAACATTATGCAGAAATTTACCCCCCTCACAGTTGTCATGAAGGGCAAAATTAGCTATATAGACCAAAACCACTTTTTGTACCAGGCTGTAAACATATTTTTTTCTGCTGTAAAGTTAACATGGGGAGTCTATGGGACTAACTCCCTTTTGGAGCCAGCCTCTAGCGGCCAGTCGATGAATTGCAGTTTTAGTCACTTCAGTGTTGGTTTCACGAGAGAGAGCGGAAGGTTGCCGCTTGAAAGCACCCCCAAATAATCTTCATATAAGAGATTTGCACACAGCCATTTGTCATTTGTCACTTTCTGCAAACGAATCACTGCACAAAACTAAACATCAAGCTGTAGCATCATTTTTGTAACTTTGAAATAAGTAAAACTCATTAGAGTCAATTATTTATTCAGTTTCTTTAATAATATGTATGAAAACATTTAGAGTCATTTCAGTTTCTAAGGCCATTGGTAGTATGTGATTGTTGCATATATGTGGTTTTAGTTTAGAATTTTATTCCAGATTTAAAATAAAGAAAAGTGCAAACTAATTGAAGAATCATGATTTCTGCGTCACTTTAAGTCTCATTAAGATTGTCCTGGCCACGCTTAAAATACTCACATATTTTCAAATGAAAACATATACATACTGTATAATATACGAATAAAATTGGATACAAAGCAACAAACTGGAACTTAAACATGCAACGAAAAAAGAGAAAATAAACAAAACTAAATGAAAAACTAAATGAGAAAGAAAACAGAAAAGATTAAATGAAAAACTAAACAACAAATCTAGAAACATAACAAACAAAAACAAAATAGAACCAACATAAAAACAACAAAAAAAGATTAAATGACAAATTAAATAAAAAAATAAAAACAAAGCTAGAAACATCACAAAAATAGAAACAAAATTAAAACATAACAAAAAAATTAAATAAACAATTACAAATTACACAACAGTACCCCATGTCCTAACCAGGCGTGATACTATAGATTGACAAGTAATAAATCACTTTTTTGTTTTATTGTTTTTATTTTTTTGCCATGACAAGCAACAAGACATTTCACAGTATGTGCAGAAACATTACTTGCTGGAAACTTGTCCTAACTTCCCAACTTGAGTGGGGGTGGCTTGTTTACTAGGATGTGCCCTAACCTTTTTCCAGTGCTGTCAGGCCATCATGGTGGTCTTGTTGATGACCGCAGTGGATTGTGGCATGAGCGTGCCCAAACCCGCACCAGTACAACATGCCCTCAGTATTTAGTGCCAGATTATGATCAAAATCATTTAAGCATGACAGATAACGCCACTCAAAAGCAGATATACAGTAGATTATTCTTATAGTTTATCATACATTCATAGTTTATATAACCATCTCACACACACACACATCCTAGCCTAAAAAGAATAATCCATGATCTCTGTGTTTTGTTTATTTGTATAGATGCAGGAGTTGGAACAAAGAGTGATTGAGGCCGACCAGCGGGCAGAGAACGCTGAAAAACAGGTATGGCTGTTGTACCACGATCCCTCCTTTTGTTTATTTTCCATAATTTACTGTATTTGGATAATTCTCTGGAAGTAGTAGCTATCCTATTTGCCAGAATTTTCATTGACAATTTATTAACAATATATAACTCATTCAGCTGCAGTGTGCCTTGTAATAAATCACACATTGGCAATTTTTTTTCATTACAATGTAATTTTTTTAACACTGTTACTTTCATAATTTGTTGCTGTTGAAGTTACAAGGTTGAATGTATAGCCTTAGCTAGCAAATATTAGCACACCACACCATTTTATTTAAGGTCAATATTTTTGTCTCAAATTGTAGAATGCATTTTAAAAATTCATGTCATGGGAGCATAAATGGCAACTCTTTCCTGAAAATTACAATCATAAAAACCACATTTATCTTGAGGATTTAACCAAGATTGCTATTGTAGGTCCACATTATGGAGGAGAAACTGAAGTCTGCAAATGTGCAGCCCAGTGAATCGGAAAACTCGTTGTACAGGCGTTATCAAGAGTTGAACAGTCAAATTCAGGAGAAAGACATGATCATAAAGAGACTCGAAGGACAGCTGGAGAAGCAGGTAAAGAGAAAAGACATCACAGAGAGGAAGAGATGGCCATGTTTGTTCATTAAACTCTCAAAACGGCCCTCTTTATCTGCAGAACTTGGTTCGAGCACAAGAGGCAAAGATAATTGAAGAAAAAGCTGCCAAAATCAAAGACTGGGTCACATTTAAGTTACGAGAGGTTAGTTGAAACATGGAAGTGCTGTGGATAAAAAAAAAAGCATTTGATGAAACAGAGCATGCCATTGATCTTTCTCATCTTTTTGTGTCTTGTAGATGGAAACAGAGAACCAGCAGTTGAAGAAGGCAAACCTGAAGCAGGCTGAGCAGATCCTCATACTGCAAGACAAGCTTCAGAGTAAACATAGTTTCTTTCCTTTTACCATTTGTTTTTGCTCATGTTTGTATATATGTGACCCTGGACCACAAAACCAGTCTTAAGTCACTGGGGGATATTTGTAGCAATTGTACATTGTATGGGTCAAAATTATTGATTTTTCTTTTATGCCAAAATCATTGGGATATTAAGTAAAGATCATGTTCCATGAAAATATTTTGTAAATTTCCTACTGTAAATATATTCAAACTTAATTTTTGATTAGTAATATGCATTGATATGAACTTCATTTGGACAACTTAAAAGGCGATTTTTATATATATATATATATTACTTTTGACTGTTTTAAATGTAATAAAACTTTGATTATGATATATTTTAGTATACATATAGTAATATAAAAATGGTAGTATACACTACCATTTAAAAGTTAGTGATTTGTAAAATTATTACTTTTATTTTGCCAGGGCATATTAAATTGTTTGAAATTTAAATTAAAGACATTAATAATGTTACTAAAGATGTAATGAATGCTGTACTTTTGAACTCTCTGTTCATCACAGAATCCTGAAAAAATTATCATGGGTTTCACAAAAAATAATATGCAGCACAACTGTTTTCAACATTGAGCGTAATAATTAATGTTTCTTGAGCTCCAAATCAGCATATTAGAATGATTTTTGAAGGATCATGTGACACTGAAGACTGAATGATGCTGAAAAAAGCTTTACTTAAGCTTAAAAAAAGCTTTAAGAATAAACTACATTTTAAAATATATTAAAATGGAAAACAGTCATTTTAAATTGTAATAATATTTCACAATATTACTGTTTTTACTATATTTTTGATCAAATAAATTTAGACGAGACTTCAAAGACATTTTTACAAAATCTTACCGATCCCAAACTTTTGAGGGTAATTTCTTATACAACTATAATAGGTGTAATGAATATAATTAATATAATAGATAACTATTTCCTGATTAGTTTATGAATTAATGGTGCAATTAAATTCAAACTTAATTTTTGATTAGTAATATGCATTGATATGAACTTCATTTGGACAACTTAAAAGGCGATTTTCTCAATATTTAGATTTTTTTGCACCCTCAGATCTCGGCCAAATATTGTCCAATCTTAACAAACCATATATCGATGGAAAGCGTATTTATCCAGCTTTCAGATGAAGGATAAATCTCAATTTTAAAAAAGTGACCCTTATGACTGGTTTTGTGGTCCAGGGTCACATATCTCACTGTGTTTCTGTCAGCTCTTCTCGAGAGGCCCATGTCTCCAGCGGTGGATGCCCATCTGGTCCCCTCCAGCCCACTCCAGCCTCCCAGCTGCCCCGGGACACCACCTGCCCAGGAGGAGGGTTGGAGATTGACAGGATCTCGCATAGCCAGCTCTACAGGTACATTGTAATTTTTTCAGGTTTACTCATGGAACATACGTAAAATTAAAAAAATTAAAAATGTTGACTTATAGTGTAAAACCAAATTTGACACTTTATTGTTTTTAAAATCCACTTATTAAGTTAGACATGGTTCCTTGTAGCAACCATTTTCTGCCCTCAGCTTTAACCAGGCTGGTTTTGATACTGTACCTTTAAGATTTCTTTGTAAAAACAACCTCTGTTTCTGTTATGATTGATATTTATTGTACTCAGTTTTAGCAACAATGCCATGGCAATTATTTAATTGTTATTTAGTTTTTGCAGTTTGCATAAATTCCATAAAAAGATCAACTGTGTTGTTAGAGTATTCACATGGTACATCGAGATTTTATCAAAATAATTCTTAAATATAATTAGAATTAACAAAACATATTAGTGATGCACCACAATTATTAGTCAAAGATATTTTTGCTGAACAGATTTGACACATTTCTACTGTAGTATCATTTTTGGTTATTGTGAAGTGCGTCCACACTGCTGACATGTTTACCTGTTGTAGTTTATTGTATGCTTATTAAACATCACTGTTCAATTAAGCATATTATTAATTATAAGTGTCAATGATTTTGGCCTGTCAAAATTATTTTGTCCAAAACCAAAAATGCCTTTTCTATTTCGGCCTAATATTTTCGGTTGCCTAAATTTCGGGGGATCACTAAAACATATAATCATAAAATATTAAATAATTTTTTTTAAATAATTAATTTAAATTTTTTTAGCTTTTAAATGGTCCATGTTGCACTTTTCGGGGGATCACTATAATAAAACATATAATAATACAAATATTAAATAATAAAAAAAAAATAAAAATAATAATAAAATATTACATAATTTAAAAATAAAATTATTAATTAAAATAATTTCTATTATTTTAAGCTTTTAAATGGTCCATGTTGCACTTTTTGAATGTTTCAGCTTTCATATTAATTTTTAACTGAATATGTGTTTATGTCGCAAATTGCAGATAGCAAAAGGAAAATCACGGAGGGTTGCGATTCCGCTTTTCATAGTGCATCTTTACTTCCCACATTACAAGACAAAGGAGACTCTCATAAGTCTAGTCAAGATGGTGTTGACAACACAATCTCAATAAAAGAGAGCGCAGAAGGGGCGGAGCCTTCTTTTGGAGTGGCACGTGAGAGAGCAGTGGGAGGAGCCTCAGACAGAGATCACTCTTCTGACGAACTCAACAGCAAATTTCGTTCCCAGCGCCTTCGCTCTTCTTCCTCATCCTCTTCCTCATCCTCCTCAGCGTATGAGACTCCTGGTCGGGGTGGCTTCGACACACCTACCCCCACTCCTAAAAGCCCTCCTCCTGTGTCCCTCTCACCCCCATTAGTATGCCTGCCTCTGTCATGCCCCTTCCCTCTGGCTTTACCCTTGGGTACCAGCATGACCCTGCCCAAAGTTCGCACCCCTCTAACCCCCCGTGACAGCATCCAGCTTGTGAAGAAACACCGCAGTCAGCCACAGCCCGGCATAGAGCGCCTCCATCAGGTCAATGTCAGTATTGATATCGGAAACTGCACCTCTCCATCCTACCACAGTCTGGTCCCCGGCACAGTTTCCACACATGGGCTAGAGGAGACGGACATTGATGAAGGGCCTCCAGAAAGCATGGAGGGTGTGGTGGAGATGGAAGCCCAGCCCACTGATGGAGCCTTATTTGAGGGCTTGGCCAAGGAGTTTGAAATGATGGACCCAGAAGCTCTTAAACCACCTACACCACCTCTGCACCGATTTCCTTCTTGGGTAAGACAGGAAAGAATACTATGGCTTGGACCTCAAATTGTGTGGCTTGTTGAGGACAGATCTGCTATTACAAGTTAGCAAGTTGGTACAAGCACTGCTTGTAATGTAAATGAGCACCTGGTGCATTTCTACATTTTTAACATTATTAAACTTAGTTAAAATATAAAAACAAAAAGCTTTAAGAATAAACTACATTTTAAAATATATTAAAATGGAAAACAGTCATTTTAAATTGTAATAATATTTCACAATATTACTGTTTTTACTATATTTTTGATCAAATAAATTTAGACGAGACTTCAAAGACATTTTTACAAAATCTTACCGATCCCAAACTTTTGAGGGTAATTTCTTATACAACTATAATAGGTGTAATGAATATAATTAATATAATAGATAACTATTTCCTGATTAGTTTATGAATTAATGGTGCAATTAAGTCAAATTAAGTACCATTAAGTAAGTGTTAGTTCCAAACTAATTTGTAGATACTAAGCAGGTAGTGCAAGTTTTCAAAATGCTTGAGGTGAGCTTAACGTACTGTAAAAGAAAACTAAAAAAAACACTAAAAATATTTAGCAACCACATTGCAACACCCTGGCAACCACCCACATCACCCTAGCACTATAGTAGCCAATTTTAGATGATAAATCTATATCACTGTTTTCATGTTACTTGGTGTGTTTTTCAGGAGAGCCGGATCTATGCGGTAGCTAAATCAGGAATGAGAGTCTCAGAGGCCTGTCTTGGAGCTAAGACTATTGGGAGAGGTCAGTCAACCAATCAGTAACAATCACAGATCACTCAGTTTATGTCTGTCACCCGCACCTTGCTGGCAGTTCTTGCAACTTACTGTTATAATGCCATATGAACAGATGCTCTTGGATCTGTCAATTAGAAGTCAGGACTTGTTTGATGTCACTTCCTCTCACCTAAGGGGAACACACCTGTGCAGGTGTGATCTCCATTTATTCAAGCTTCTAAGAGGCTTTTAGAGGACAACTGGGTCTGTGAGTAGAGGTTGAGAATGGAAACCCTGCTTTTCAATCAGCCGTGATGAAAGGATAAAAGCGCTGTGTAATTATCTTAGCGAGAATTTCACATCTCTCCACCTCAACTCTACAACAAAACTTACAAAAACTGTGCTCTATGCTGCAGTGAGACACAAGTCTGATCATATATTTACTTTAATACAAACTTACTACAACATTTTGGAAGTGACGGCCACATTTAACTCTTCCACGCCGTTACCACTGAACATCGAGCGGTTGGCTGAAAAGTTGATTTTAGGTTGCAGATCCTGTGTAAAAGTCTAAACTGGGTCACTTCAAACACAGATGCTGTTTTGGAGCAAAATAATATTAGCGACCGGAAATTTTTACCTAACCATCATTGACAAGCACTGTGTTTTATTTAAACTGCTGCTTTTAAAACGGCATGCCCTCTCTGGACCATAATGCATGGGCTGCACTTAAACAGAGAAGGGCTGATGGGAGCAACTATGGTGGAGAGAGACTGCTGTCACAATTTGCCAGTGAATTAATAAAGAAATTGATTAAGTGCTCTGAATAAAAGTGACACACATTTAGCTACAGTATGTACATGGCCATATAGAGTTGTGTTCTGGGATATTTAAATGTCCAGATTTTTTGGTTCTTAACCTGTTAGAATTATGAAGGGTTGCTATAGTCATGGAAAACCTGGAAATATTAGGGAATTATAAAATTGGAATTTTCAGGCTTAAAAAAGAATGCATTTTCTAGTCTTGCTCAGCTCAAAAAATGCTTTTGTGAGTTGAAATTTTTATTGAATGATCCTTCAGTAATTATAAACAAGAAAATTACTGAAAATTAATTGGACATGAATGAAATGAATACAACCAGGATGCATTAAAGTAATCAAAAGTGACAGTAAATAAATACATTTTATTATGTAACAAAATATTTCTATTTCAAATAAATGCTGTTCAACCTTGTTTTCAATACTGATAATAAGACATTTTTTGAGCACTAAATCAGTACATCAGAATGATTTCTGATTTTTTGTATTTTTGATCAAGTAAACGTGGATTCCTTTCAAAAATATTTACATTTTGCAGACACAAACTTTTAAATGGTAGAGTTTACCTGCTATAACAAAGAAAATTTAATTGAATAAAAAAATAAGCTAATTAAATGTACAAACACCATATTTGGCTATTTCACTGGTGTCTGTAAATGGAAAGGCCTTATGAAATTATATTGAAGTGCCCACCCAGGCCCTATGATTTTTTTTACAACTTTGCAGACTTTTTGCAAGTGCCCATGTGTTGTTCGTTTGCTTCTCCAGTATCCACCCAACCTCAGCACTCAACAACTGGCCCCTTCACCCACCTCATTTATAAGAACATCAGTGTGCCTGTGTACTCCACACTTAAAGGGGTAAGACTACATCATTAGTATGAGACTTAACTAATTCTAAGCTCACAAATGTGACATAACAAGGACTGAGAGAAACCTTTAAAATAGTACAAAATGTAGTGTCTTTCTCATCCTTCCCACAATGTGACTCTGCTCTTTCAGAAAGCAACTCAGATCAGCAGTGTCCCTCTCCCTGATGATGACTCGGGTTCAGAAGACGACAGCAGCTCATTGGCCAGCCTGCACACATCCACATTGGTGCCAGATAAGAAGGGCAGTACCCCAGGCAGCCCCCGCGCTGTCAAAAGAGGTGAGGAAATCTGTCAAATAATACACTCTTAGGCTTTCAAAATCTTTTTATTTAACTTTTTTTATGTAATAAACTAGTTTTGTAATAATAAAAGTGTGTAAATTTTGTTTTTATAAAGAAAAAAAAAATTGCTCGAAATACTCAAAGACCAAGGTTCATCTCTTGGACATGTTTGGACAACTTGGACATGTGTTTTGTCCCACAGGTGTGTCTATGTCCTCCATCAGTTCAGAGAGTGACTATGCCATTCCACCGGATGCATACTCACTGGACAGTGACTGCTCAGAGCCTGAGCACAAGGTGCAACGTACCTCGTCCTACTCATGCGAGAGTGTCGGACCGGTACGTTTCTGAGCTCCACATTTGAGCCGCCTCAATATTTGTCTTCTAATCTACATTACCATCCAAAAATCTAGAGTCTGTAAGATGTTTCAGCTATTACTCCAGTCTTCAGTGTCACATGACGTGATCCTTCAGAAATCATTCTAACATTCTTGTTTTGTTTTTGTTTTTATGGTCATCACAGTTGGAAACAGTTGTGCTGCTTAATAAACTGATACGTGTTTTTTTTCTCAGGATTTTTTTTGATGAATAGAAAGTTCAAAAGAACAGCAATTATTTGAAATAGAAATATTTTTACTAGAAAAGAACGATTTTTTTACTGTCTTTCGGTAACACTTTAGTATAGGGACCAATTCTCACATTAGCATGCCTGTTATTAACATATTGGCTGTTTATTTGTACTTATAAAGCACATATTCTACATGACCATATTCTACATCCCTAATCCTACCCAATACCTAAACTTAAATACCTTCCTAACTATTAATAAGCAGCAAATTAGGAGTTTATAGAGGCAAAAGTCGTAGTTAATGGTTTGTTAATAGCGAGAAGGCCTATTTTTTTAGTACAGAGGTTCTTCTTTGTAACTATTATTCAGTCTATTCTTACATTTTAGTATTAGTCCAAGGAGGTCTGTAATACTGGAGAAAGCTATCAGTTAGCATTCCCATTCACCTCAATCCTATCCATAGAGTTCGAAGTAAGACAGATTGTCCATGTTTAACGTCTTTGTATGTGCCTTTCAATATAGGAGACTCTAGAAAAGACGGGTTACTTGCTGAAAATGGGCAGTCAGGTGAAAGCTTGGAAGAGGCGCTGGTTCATTCTGAGGAACGGGGAGATCTTGTACTATAAGTCGCCGGTGAGTAGGCTTTTCCACAACTCTGCGGCGGTATTTGAGAGACGGTGTGAGAGGAGGAAGTTTAGAGTTACACTACTGATGATATCTGCCTTTGTTCTGCTCTCAGAGTGACGTGATCCGGAAACCTCAGGGCCAAATGGAGCTGAACTCTTCGTGTCATATAGCCCGCGGAGAGGGAGCTCAGACATTCCAGGTGAGAGACACACGCTGATACAGCCTTTAACAAATCTGTCAGCTTGAGGCTTTCAGAAACAGCCTGATATGGGTATCACATGAGTTTCGCTTGCGTTTTGAGGGGATGTTCAGCTCTTAAGTGCTGTTATTATTGGGTTTTCAAAGGCGTAATAATAATAATAATGGAGAATTATGTATAATTTCCTTAGTCTTGAATCAGTGTAATCACAATTTGGGAGGAATTGAATATCATAATCATAAAATATCTTGCAGTATTTATTGTAGATCATCTGGACGTGTTTTACTGTTACCACATGACTTGGAAGTAATTCTGCAATACATTCCATCATGGTTGAGATGATTTAAAATCTTTACTCATAATGGCAAATTTTCAGTTACCTTATGGACGACACGGAGAAGACAGACTTATTAGTTTTTAGTATTTTATTTAATATAATAATCATAGAATGTGTTGTTGAATTTATTGTGGGCCATCTGTTTTGCTGTTATTAACTGACTTGGAATAAATTCTACTGGACGTTGCATAATGGTAGAAATTATTTAGAATTGTTGTCTATTAAGACAACATGTAGTTGTAGTACAATATATCAGTTATGAGCCTCTTTATTTATTTAATTGATTTTTTGTTTTATTTTGTATTTATGTAGACCAGATATTTTTTTATCTTAACATTTAAATTTTAATATCTGTTATCATCAGCCATAAAATGAAAATATTTATCTGCTTATCGGAATGAGACAGAATTTTAATACCAGTGCCATCATAGTCATTGAATGGTTAACCAGTTTTGTTGACTAAATCTCTGTCCATGTTTTTCTCATCTGCGTGTCGTTTCTAGTTAATTACAGAGAAGAAGACCTTTTACTTGGCTGCAGACTCCCCAAATATCCTGGAGGACTGGATCAGAGTTCTCCAAAATGTTCTCAAGGTCCAGGCCAGTGGACCAATTTCCATGGATAAAGAAGCTAAGCCCACGGTGCGAGGCTGGCTAACTAAGGTAAGAGCTCACAGGAGTGTTATTAAAGGAATAGTTCACCCCAAAATGAAAATGTTGACATCATTTACTCCTCCTCATGTCGTTCCAAACCTGTATGAGTTTCTTTCATATGTTTAACACGAAAGAAGATATTTTGAAGAATTTTGAAGAACCAAACAGTTGTTGGTCCCCATTGACTTCCATAATAGGGAAAGAAATACTATGGAAGTCAGTGGGGACTATCAACTGTTTGATTACCAACATTCTTCCAAATATCTTCTTTTATGTTCAGCATAAGAAAGAACCTCATACAAGTTTGGAATGACATGAGGGTGACTAAATAACGACAACAAATGTCAATTTTGGGTGAACTATCCCTTTAAGGTGTGAGAATGATCCCGTCTCGCTTAGCCCAATGAATATTCGATTGTTTTTTTTTAGTTTTACTCTTGAATAGGTATTACCTTATGACGTTAGCCACAAACTAACTCTAAAAAGTCTAATAATTCATCTAGTCAAATCCACAGTATTTGAACATTGTATCTAGTCCAGCATGTCAGTGCATCCACTTCGCCACATCTGAAGGGTTTTGATTGACAGTTCAGCATAAAAAACTAAAATAATTAATGTTTTTCTTTTTCTGTATGTGGCTGTGCTTGTGTATTGACCTTCAGGATGTCTTGTCAAATGGGTGTGTTCATAATGGCATGATTTGTCTGTTTGAATGCATTTTATTTGACCATCCATTTTCAGTTTGACGAATAAACTGGAAGCAATATAAACCACATATTTAATATATTGAGCCTGTTTACGCCTGGTATTAAGATCCTGTTTTGCTCCATCTTTCTCTCTCCATATTTTTGACGATGTCTTTATTTTACTACAGGTGAAACATGGTCATTCAAAGCTTGTGTGGTGTGCTTTGATTGGGAAAGTCTTCCACTACTACCGAAACCAGGATGACAAGGTGGATATCTTTAGCTTCATTCAATTCAAAGTGATTTTAGTTTCCATGGAAGTTCATGTGTGTATTTTAAATGTTAAAATAAAAAGTATATATTCAGGTAATTTGTAAATTAATTTATGCTTAAGATGCTATTGTGCTGAGATCAAATATGTGTTTGTGGCAGTTCCCACTGGGTCAGCTACGTGTTCGGGAAGCACGGGTGGAAGAAGTGGACAGGTCATGTGACTCTGATGAGGATTATGAAGCAGGTGGGCGGGGCTTCCTCTCCTCTCACTTCACTTTAGTGGTTCATCCCAAAGAGCAAAGCCCCACCTACCTGCTTGTCGGCACTAAACAAGAAAAGGTACCACTTACACCGCAAACACAATCTGAATTTTGCCTAGCATTTACCTAAATGCTGCTTTTTGTTTATTATAATACAATATGTAAAATACTTTATTCATATGCAAATCCATTCTCCATGAAGGTATGTTATTATTAGTGTTGTTAAGCACAACACTTTGCTACGATGACAGCATTACTATTTAAACAAATCAACTTGTCAACAAAATAACATCAATAAAACCAAAAACCGTTATATACACTAGCTTTCAAAAGTTTGGGGTTGGTAGGATTTTGTAATGTTTTTGAAAGAAGTCTCTTACGCTCACCAGGGCTACATTTATGTGATCAAAGATACAGTAAAAACAATAATATTGTGAAATATTATTACTGTTTAAGTTACCTGTTTTCTATTTTATTATATTTTAAAATGTAATTTATTCCTGTGATTGCAAAGCTGATTTTTTTAGCAGTCATTACTTCAGTCTTCAGTGTCACATGATCCTTCAGAAATTACCCTATGCTGATTTGGTGCTCAAGAAACATTTCTTATTACCGTATTATCAATGTTGAAATCAGAAATCAGTGTTGCTTCATTTTTTATTTATTTATTTATTTTTTAGCAGGAAACATGCTACTTTTTTCAGGATTATTTGATGAACAGAAACAGCATTTAGCTTAGTCTGCACAGAAGTCTGTGACTCAAAAGAAACATCTAAATTAACTGATTGACTAAAATTCTAAATTGTAATACTACTCTGCTACTCTTTGGAAAAAATTGCATGTTTCTGAAAATGGTACATCAGTTCGTTTACTGTTATTTTTATACTATTTTTAGTATAGTATACTATTTTATACTTTCTAATACTATTTTTATACTATAGTACTTTTTAAATATTTTGAGTTAGCTTTTTTATAATTTTAGTTTTAGTAATTTTATGGGCTTTTTGACATTTGTTTTAAAAAAAATTTATTTAGCTTTCATTTTTATTTCAATTTAAGTTTCAGTCATTTTAGTACTTCTTTTTATACTTAAAGGTGCAGTAGGAGATCTTGGAAAATGCTAACTTTAGCCTGCGCTCGGACCGAGCGTTTTGATTGAACGAACATTTCTAGGTCCTATGCCCAATTCCACAGAATATATAAATACAGATAAATACATTTAGACCACTTAACTTAATGATTGCTATTGGGATGTGAAACAGATGCGCCGTTTTCGTTCAAATCCAAGCGTAAATACATGTAGAAAACGTATCCTTGTGTCGCGGCTGACACAGAATAGCATACGATGCTTGCGTTCAGCGGATATTCTCAAAAATGGCACTACAGTGATGCAGAGAGACACAGAGGAGACGAATTGTTGAATAAAGTCGTTATTTTTGTTTTCTTCGCTACATTTAGACCACTTAACTTAATGATTGCTATCGGGATGTGAAGAGAATTTCAACCAGCATAACAAAAAATGTTTATGAAGACAATCACCTATTGCACCTTTAATATCAATTAGCTGCCAAACAGCATTTCTGATTTTTCATCTAATATCATATAACATCTAATATATTATTTAAAATTTATTTCAATTAACAAAAATGACTTTAAAGGGATACTCCACCCCAAAATGAAAATTCTGTCATTAATCACTTACCCCCATGTCGTTCCAAACCCGTAAAAGCTTTGTTAGACACAGAGGAGACGAATTGTTGAATAAAGTCGTTATTTTTGTTTTCTTCGCGTACAAAAAGTATTCTTGTCACTTCATAACGTTACGGTTGAACCACTGATGGCAGATGGACTATTCTGACGATGTCTTTCATCCTTTTCTGGACCTTGACAGTGTAATTTACTTGGCAGTCAATGGGACAGTCACAAGCCTCCCGGTTTTCATCCAAAATATCTTAAATTGTGTTCTGAAGACGAACGAAGCTTTTACGGGTTTGGAACGACATGGGGGTAAGTGATTAATGACAGAATTTTCATTTTGGGGTGGAGTATCCCTTTAATAGTTTAACAATAATATGACTGAGCTACATTACTAACTTTAGTTTTTCAGCATCACTTCAGCTGTTCAATAGTGTCACTCCTTTTGGTAAATGAAATTAATCTCAGTTATACATCCGCATTCAAACCTAGTCTTTTGCCGTCTTTCTTATAGGACACCTGGCTGTACCACCTGACCGTCGCGGCGGGCAGTTGTGCCAGCTTGAGAGTGGGCACAGAGTACGAGCAGCTGATTGGCAAGCTGTTGGATGTGGATGGAGACCCAGGTCAGAAGTTACTTTTAAATATCTACCAACCGCACACTTCTACAACATGTACAACTGCTTCTCAAGTCACTTGATGGATGGTTTTAAATCGAGACAGACAGATTGAATGACTCTATTTAGACCCCAGACAGTGTTTACGACCAGTTCTTATGGCCTGATAACAGCTGTTGTGTCATTTTCATTTGTTTTTCAATCTGTTGTGTGTTCATGCGTGCAGACTCCGCTCTGTGGAAACGTGAAGTGTTGTGTTTCAGTAAAGAGGGTCTGCGGTACCCTCTCACCACACTGCCCTCCGAGGCTCTCCAAACAGAGGCTCTCAAGCTCTTTAAGGTGAACGCTCTCGTCTGTGTCTTCTTTTACTCTCACATTGACAAACGCTCTAGTCTTTATGTCCTCTTGTTGTCTTTATCTTCCTTGAAGAGTCACTCCATCTCTTGAGACACTTCTAAGTTGTCCTCGTCCTCCTCTCCTGAGGGTTAATGGTGCCGTCCTGTCCCTGTGTGTGAGAGAGCTACTGTGTCTCCCACAGCAGGATCAAAGGCTGTGATGGGAGGCCTTGTGCTCATTATAGCGCAGGAGATAATGAGCTGGATTTGGCTCTGATTGACGTAAAAAAAACTCTCTGCAGTGTAGTCATGTTGGGGAAGCTGCTTTGAAACTGTAGCTTGCCAAGATACATGCTACTCATAATTTATAGTAGTTCAGACTACACTTTCGAAACAGTAGTACTTGGATACAGTACTCGTAATAAAATCAGAGGTTTTTTGGCACAAAACATTTAGGATCTCTATTACGGTGTCAAATGGGAACACATAAACTAAATCATGGCTAACAATATAATAAAAACTACTCTAAACTGAAGCAGAAACAGCTGCTGGTATCAAAATAGCAGGCTGGTTGATGACCAGTATAATTTGAATGCACATGATGAAATTAAATGAGCACGGCATAAACTACCGTTCAAAAATTCGGGGTCAATAGTAAATGTGGTCAGTATATTAATAAAATCAGCATATTAGAATGATTTCTAAAGAATCATTTGACACTGAAGACTTGAGTAATGGCTGTAAAATTCAGCTTTGCCACAGAAATAACGGAGAACAGAAATAAATAAGTTATTTTAAAGTATAAAAATATTTTACAATATTACTTTTTGTACTGTATTTTTGATCAAATATATGCAGCCTTTCTATATAACCTCAAACTAAGTAATTTAAACAATTAATTAGCCTGGATGATATATTAATATATTAACGTCTTGTCTCCTTAACTGAACATGAGATGGCTTGTTCATTCAGCTCATTCTGAGTGTTGTTCAGATTTAAAATCATCTCATTTTGAATCTGAACAAAAATCCAAAATAACTGAACTAACAAGCCATCTAATTTGAAAATGAAGTGAGCAAATCAGGTATTTTATTCATGAATGTACAATTATTAATGAATAGTAAGACGGTGTAAGAATTAAGCATGCATAAAAACGGCCAATGATACAAATAAAATGACTTCATATAATCTGTTATTTTAGTATTATTTATTTATTATATTATAGTATTTATTCATATTTTGAATTAGCTGAGGTTTATATATTTTGATTTTATTAAGTTTTTCATTTCATTTTAAGTTTGAGTAATTTTGTTATGTGCTTATGTCTTTTTTTTTTTGTTTTGGTTAATATTTCTGTTCAGCTTTTATTTATTTATTTATTTTTCAAGTCAAGTACTTAAACTTACTTTATTTCATTTAGTTGCCAAAGCAACAGTTCTGATTTTTAAGTTGTTTTTCATCTAATATTTATTTTAGATTTTTTTTCAGTTAACAAAAACAATTTGTAATAGTTTTAGTTTTACTTAACAATACCAATGTATTTAGATAAATATCTAAATATTATAAAAGTCATGCTCAGCAGTTCACAAAACAGAGGGAAAATAACAGATCTGCTTTGTTGTCATTTTTGGGCGAAACACGATGCTGAAATCTCTTGGTAGATTTATAAATGTGAATTAGGATGATACGTTTCTTCAGTTGTGAATAACTAGGTTGTTTTGTAACGACTTGGTTGAGTGAATGATTTAATGACTTAAACACACAAAAAATACAGTTGCTTGATGCCACCTACTGGCTTAACCATGTAACCTGCAACAAAAGTAGCTAAACTAATCAGGGAATGAATCCGAATGAAGCTTTTTGGTTAATGGATTCAAACCATTCACAAGAATGAATCACAATCCTCACTTCAACACAGACTTTCTAGGAGAATGCACTTATGTTCACTTAATTGTGCCCCATTTGTAAAGCTACATGTAAATAATGTGAAAAAAGTGAATTAGGGTTTGTTACAGTTATCCATTATGCAAGAAATGCAGTTAGTAGCATCACTACTTCTAGTAATGACTTCTAAACAAGTGGTACTCAGCACTTTGTGTGGGAAATGGCACTAGCCCTGTAACGTCTCATTTTGAGGACAGGCCTAAACATTTCATTCTGAGTTCAAAGAGGATCGCTGACAGCGTTTGGAGAGATAGTCTCATTCCAGTAACCCGTAGTTTCTCCTCAGGCTCCCGTTTTCTATTGACAACCCTGTTCTCCAGAGGTTTGCAGACATTATGCCCTATTGACTGTTCAATGGCGTATCCTCGAGAGCTAGCATCGTGCGCAGCCCTCAGTGCTCTTTGAAGATCAGACGGGCTTTTTAGGTAGTCATTCGATACTGAAAGAAAAAGCCTCCCACTCTGAAGTAATGAATGGGGGGTTGACAGCTCCATCCTGACTTGATTGAATTTGCATTGTAAGAATTTCTGTACGAACAGAAACGGAATGTTAATAAGTAAGTAAAGCGTGTTGTTGCACGCACTGTCTGTATGGCTACAGAACCAGCTGTGTGCGTTAACATGTTGTGTGAGGAGTTCGCCATCTGCTGGTTGTTCTGTTCTCATCACAGATGGTAGTGCCATATATTTCTAGCTTTTCTCTGTCCGCTCATATGGTTTTAAAAAACCTTTATGCCAATTTCAAGATAAAAATCTATTTAACGGTTCTTTAAATGTCATGCGGTGTCTATCAAGTAAAAAATACATGTCTTGGATACATGTGAGAGAACACATCTAAATATGTAAAGTGAAATAAAATGAAACTAAATAATAAATTAAATGTATAATTAATTAAATGAATTATAAATCTAAATTTTATTTTATTTCTCCATAAATATAATATATTTTGGGTGGCCGTCGTTACACCACATTACATTTTACAACCTGAACTAACTTTGTGTGATCATAAAAAGGTCCAGTTATCTGACATTGTTATGGACTGTTTTCATGAACAGCATTTTTAAATGTATTTTTGTATAAACTAATAAATAAGGAAATAATTTAGTGTCATTGACCCACACACATACAAATAAGTTATTGTTTTGCCCCCCTGGTAGTCATGTCAGCTGTTCATCAATGTGCTGGTGGAGTCTCCCTCCATCGACTACCACACCTCGCTGGCCCAGAATGCACTGCAGGTGTGCCTAACACATCCAGAACTGCAGAATGAGATGTACTGTCAGCTGATCAAACAGACCCACTGCCGCACTCCTCACAACTATGCCCTCACGCAGGTCAGTGTCATATTTGTGCACACACACATTTCACACTGTATCGTCATATGAAGTGTTTTATGTTTCTATATCTCACCGCTCTTCTTTTTCTTTCTCAGTGCTGGCAGCTGTTATCATTGTGTGTAGCTCTCTTCCTGCCTCAGCACCATTTCCTGTGGTACCTCAGACAGTACCTGCAGCGGAATGCAGATCCCAGGTCACTGGCCACACACTCACTCACTCACTCACTCCATGAAGTACAATGTGTTGAATAAATTCCACTAATAAATTTCCCTCACAGACTAATTCTCAAATATATATTTATATTTATAATATGTACAAATAAATCTGAATATATAGTTTGTGAATAGTTGTATTATTATATACAGATATTTGGAATTACAACTATATATTCAGGATTATAACTGTATATTTTGATTTATAAACATATTTTGTAATATGTTATCAATACATCATTTGTGACCCTGGACCACAAAACCAGTCATAAGGGTCAATTTCTTGAAATTGAGATTTTTTCATCTTCTGAAAGCTGAATAAATAAGCTTTCCATTTATGTATGGTTTGTTAATATAGGACAATATTTGTCTGAGAACTCTTTGAAAATCTGGAATCTGAGGGTGCAAAAAAATCTAAATATTGAGAAAATCGCCTTTAAATCTGTCCAAATGAAGTTCTTAGCAATGCATATTACTAATCAAAAATTAAGTTTTGATATATTTACAGTAGGAAATTTACAAAATATCTTCATGGAACATGATCTTTACTTAATATCCTAATGATTTTTGGCATAAAAGAAAAATCCATAATTTTGACCCATACAATGTATTGTTGGCTATTGCTACAAATATAATATACCCGTGCGACTTATGACTGTTTTTTTGTGGTCCAGGGTCACATTTATAATATATGTTCTGGTTTATTCAGTATTTATAAATACTGTATATTTTAAGAATTTACATTTTATACATTCAGATTCATAACTATATGTTCAGATTTACAACTATACACCACTGTTTACAAGTTTTACATTTAAATGTATTTGAAAGAAGTCTTTTCTGCTCACTGAGGCTGCATTCCTTTCAGCAAAAACACAGTAAAACAGTAATACTGTGAAATATTTTTTAAACTTAAAATAAACTGTTTTAATTTTTTTTTTTTTATATTTTAAAATGATTCTTTAGAAATCATTCTAATTTAAAAAGCATTTATTTGAAATCTTTTGTAACATTATTAAAGTTGTTACTATCAATTTTTTATAAATTTCATGAATTTCTTGCAAAAAAAAAACTAAGAATGGAAGTGTATATTTGAATTAATAGCTATATATTTAGATGTAAATTTTACATCTTAAAATTTACATCTTACATAATTTAAGAATGTCATATACAGTATATCTTACTTAATTAATTAAATTCAAATCACTGTCAAAAAAGGCTGCTTCAAAAATAATAAGAAAAAAAATAGGGAGTTTTGATGTGCTTACTGCAAAACAAGACTTAGATACCGATACGAATAAGGGTTTTTGCAGTGATGCCTCATGTAATTGAATTTGAAAGCCTGTGTTTATGTGTGTACACCCACAGGACTGAAGTGGGGAAGTATGCTGTGTACTGCCAGCGCTCGGTAGAGAGAACCTTACAGAATGGAGAGAGAGAGGCAAAGCCTTCACGAATGGAAATTCTGTCTATTCTGCTGAGAAACCCCTACCATCACTCGCTCCCCTTCAGCATACCTGTTCACTTCATGAACAACACTTATGAGGTACACACCAACACGTTCTGTTCCCATTGATCTGGCACTCTGTAAAGCCTACTGTATCATGCTCGAGACGCAAATTTCTAAGGCTTGTAAATTATCAACATAATTAACTAAAAATCCTGTTGTACACAATCTACTGCATGCCTTCTGCCCTCTGAATCATAGTCTCTATATTTTTTAGTGTTTTTTTTCTTGTCTTTGTGCTGTGAAATCTTTACTAATTTATATGAAGTAAATGTAAGAATAATTTTATTGTTAGTAATATTTCAAGATGAACATTGACTGGACTAAAGCAACTTAAAAAAAAAAAAAATTAGGCTTTTGTTTATTTGTGCATCTCTCAGTCATCATTATATTGCATTGCACTGTATTTTTTGCTCACTTTGGGCCTCTGAATAAAACTGAGGTGGGTTTTTTTCTCCTCGAATATGAACTCCGTATTCTTATATATCACACTATTTGAACCATAAAAGCCTGATGTATCAAATATGGCACTCAACAAAAACACAATTGCATTTTTAAAAAGAATATTATGTGTGAAGTTTCAATAGACTGTTCCATTTAAAATAAATAAATAAATAAATACTTTTTTCCTGTTAACACTTGGTATTAAGATGCATTCAGGATTTTAGACCCCATTAACACCTGTATTCGATGCTGGAATGGCGTTAAGAAGAAAATAAACAAACAAACACCTGAATTCAGCATTGACTACTCATGATATGGTCACAAAGATGGATGCTAATGTCAGGTGTAAACAGTGTCTTTGATGTATTATATGGAATGTATAAGTGTCAACAGTTTTACTAAAGCAGGACAGGCTTTCAGAATGCTGCTGCCTCTTCCCTTCCTCCATCTCTCTCTAGGTTGTAGGTTTTGATGGTTCCACCACAGTGGAGGAGTTCCTGAACACAGTCAACCAGAGAGCAGGCATGAGGAAGCCACAGATTTCAGGCTTTGCGCTCTTCACTGACGACCCCTCTGGAAAAGACCTGGAGCATTGCCTGCAGCCAAGCAATAAAGTATGAAATGAACATTAAATATCAGAGCTTTTTACAACCACAAAAACATTTTAGTCTATCTATTCTGTGCTGCAAGAAAATTAGCGGAATGCTTTTTTATCTTCTGCTGCAGATTTGTGATGTGATCTCAAAGTGGGAACAGGCACTGAAAGAACTTCATCCTGGAAAATATGAGGGAACACGGATTGTCCGTCTCACTTATAAAAGCAGGTATGTTTGAGAAACTGTGGTTTTGTATCTATTGAAACCAAGTATTAAGAATGTTTTTGTCAATAGATTAATAATGTTAGGGTTTTAAAAGTATTCAATCTTCCTTGTAGACTGTGTTTCCGAGCTCAGGCTAAGGGGGAGACTGAGCGAGAGCGCCTCCTGCTGGCTTATCAAGTAAATGAAGAGGTACAACAAGGGCACTTCCCTGTCAGTAAGGAACTGGGCCTGGAGGTGGCTGCGCTGATGGCACAGGTGTGTGTTAAAGTGGATCAAGTGTTCGAGGGTAAGTGTATTTGAAGTGGTGGATCACAAATACACCTCACTCACATTTATCTTTTAGGTCGAGCATGGTGACTTAGACCGGCCAGCAATGTCTCCCACTGCTTCTTCTCAGTCGAAGACCCAACAGGTCCTTCTGCAGGTACTGGAGCGTTTTTACCCTAAACGCTACAAGCAGGAATGCAGCATCGAGCAGCTTAGGTAAATTCACATTGATTTGATTTTGTGTTCATTATAATCACTTCATGTTCATGATTATATTATATTACATTAGTGGTAATTAATCTGTAGCAGTTTATTATATATTGATTTAGAATATGCATGATATATGATATAACTTTTTGTTTCAGTATGTTCATTCACAATTATTATGTATCATCATATAATCTCATATAACAAAATAAAAATGTTCACAATTTCACAATAATTTTCAAAAAAAAAAAAAAGGATGACATGATTGATTGAAAAATCATTGATTAATTTTTGTGTGCCTTATTCAATTTTAGGACAACTTGATGCGATTGCACAAAACAATCCTAAAGTACAGTAAAATATAAAATAAAATAAAATCTGAATTAAAAAAAATCTAAGATAACAATTACTAATCCATAAATGAAAAATCAGGAAAGGCTATAGAGTAAAGATGTATCATTTTTATATAATAGTATGTATTTTAGAATAATTATAATTATATAATAAATTGTAATGATATAATAGAATAATTTATCTTTAATTTATCATATATCATTTTCAATTTATATATATTAATACACTTTTTGGAATTATTTATTCTGATGTTTGACCAAAGAATGCCCCATTTACAAATCAAAATATAATAACACTGTATATTATGTATACATTTATATTACATTTGTAATCTATATTTAGCATTTAATTATATACAGTTTAATTTAGTATAAATATATATTTTTAATATATAAATGCAGCTTTGTGGAATCATTTTTAACATATAATCATTTAGTTTTATACTAATGTTTGACCATAGAATGCCAAATTTACCTATTTTACCATATTATACTTTTCTTTATTAACTGTAATATGATATGCTTACTGTTGTTTTTCTTCATTTAAAAAGAACATGCAATCTTTAATCGCAACTTTGTCCCACAGGGAACCCGCTGAGCGTTTGGCCACTAAGTGGTCTGTCCTTCGTGGATGCACAGCCTCTGAATGTGTGAGAATCTACCTGACCGTGGCCCGCAAGTGGCCTCTGTTTGGCGCCAAGCTGTTCAGTGCCAAGGTAAGATCAGATGTACAGTAGATAAGGTGACAGTTTCCTTAGCCACTGATAAAACTGACTGCTATTTTCTAGAAAGATTTTCAGATGTATTTTTCACAAGAGGGCTTGTTAAAACATGACAGAATTTCTCCTTTTACTCCCACTCTGTTGGTGCACAGCCATTGCCTCCCTCTTCATTGGAGCAAACTCGAGTGTGGCTGGCTGTTAATGAGGATGGGCTGAGTGTTCTGGACTACACAATGGTGAGTGAATGCGGATACTTGCTCTAGTTATAGCTTCAGAAAGTAAGACTGCATTAAAGGAATATTACGGGTCATTTACAACTTAAGCTCTTAAGTGTGCTGTTGATTACCACAGAAAATAATTTATGCTCCCTCAGGTTGTAAAAACAAATAAAGAACATGCTTACAGTAAAGCTCTTTTAATGAAAGCCTATAAGTAAAGTGTGCAGCACCACAAATATAAAACTATAATATAGTTTTGAAAATGTAACAGTAACAAGGAATATGATGTAACTGTAAAGTACCTCTGTAAATATGTATAAACATGTACAATACATAGAGCTAATTCCAAGAAAATGTAGGATTAAATCTCATACTGTTTTGACAATAAAAATAAGCAAATACTGCTACTGATCTCAACCAATATATCATATAGACCAAATTATTTGATCAGAATCTAAGTAATATTCAAAAGCCTTCACAGTTCCATGACATCCCCACCATATTTTTAAAAAACATTGATCGCACATTACCAGTTGTTACAAGTTACCAGATAAACTATGTTTATCCATGTAGAAAAGTAGTTCTACCGCAAATGAACAATTTAGCAATTTAACAAAAATATGAGCTTCATATTTCTGCTTTAAACCCTCCTGTTCACATACCTGCTGGACTTTTATTGTAAGTGCACTTCCTTTCAGACCTTTATCGCCCTCTCTTGGCTCAGTGAAATTTTATTTTATTTTAGTTTAGTTTAGTTTAGTTCTTCCATTTTCTAGGTTTCAAGAACTATATTATATTTATCTGGCACTTAGAGGGCCATATTGGCAGGTGTGCTTGTTTGAAAAGCTGTAGTCCTGATATCTTGCCAGTTGGCTGTATTCTCACTTGGAGAGGTCTGATTGTTTTGAGAAAGAATAAACAGGGTCAGGCAGACTCTGTAATTTTCTGTTTTCTATTTTTTATATCTTTTTTGCTTTAACTTCTTCATCCACTCACTATTCTCTCCAGTTCACAAAAAAAAATCGCCTTTTACAGAAAATATACAGAAAAAATAGTAATATTGTGATATATTATTACAATTTATTGATATTATTATGACTTATTGTTATTATCATCAACTGTATGTTTTTATTTTTATATATTTTAAAATGTGCTTATTGTGTAATTAATGTGATTGTCATTACTCCAGTATTTAGTGTCGCATGATTCTTCAGAAATAATTCTAATATGCTGATTTGCTACTCAAGAAATATTTCTTCTTCTTATTATTATGATGTTGGAAACAGTTGAGATACTTAATATTTTTGTGGAAACCATAATACATTTCTTCAGGATTCGTTAATGAACAGAAAGTTCAAAAGAACAACATTTATTTGAAATTTTCTAACGATATTAAAGTCTATACCGTTACTTTTGCTTGATAAATTTAATACATCTTTGGTGAATAAAAGTGTTAATTTCTTGCAAAAAAACAGTAGTGTTTATATTTGTTTTTGAAAATATCTCAATTTGTGTGCTCTGCTTTTCTTCAGCACCCATTAGTCACATATCCATACCAGTCAGTGATCACCTTTGGAGGCTGCAAGGAAGATTTCATGCTAGTGGTCAGCCAGATTAAAGAGCAGGCTTTGGGCAAGAAGACTGTGGATAAACTTTTATTTGCAATGGCTAAACCAAAGGTAAGACCTGCTAAGTCACAAAAGGTAAAACACAGTTTAACCGCATTTCCAAATGAAGCCAGTAAAGACGGAATTCTGATGTGGTGCTTTTAGCATTAAATTTTATGACCCATCTTAAAAATCTGATCTGAAGTGTGTGGGGGTGAAATCAGAACTTTAAAACAGCTTGAACTCCTACACCCCCCTTTGAAACCACTATCTGAAAGACATCCAATGATAAAAACAGGTTTTTCAATGAGAGTTTCACTCATACAGGATTACGTGATACAGGAAGTGCTAATGAGCTCGTATATCTGTGGTTTGTTGTGTCTTTTTTGGCCTGATACAGTAAGAGCAAGTTTAATGTTGAAAAACCTGAGTTGAACTCCTACACCCCCCTTTGAAACCACTATCTGAAAGACATCCAATGATAAAAACAGGTTTTTCAATGAGAGTTTCACTCATACAGGATTACGTGATACAGGAAGTGCTAATGAGCTCGTATATCTGTGGTTTGTTGTGTCTTTTTTGGCCTGATACAGTAAGAGCAAGTTTAATGTTGAAATATTCATCTACTAAAGACCTCCTGGTTCACTGTCTGTCTCTCTCTCTCTCTCTCTCTTTCATTGCTGTAGATCCTGGAACTGACGCTCCTCATGGCTAGTTATATTAACTGCTGGACCTCCAACTTACCAGGGGCCGGAAACCAGACTCAAGGCTCAGCGCTGGGGCCTCAAGGAGACAGGAAGCTCTGGGACATTGACAGCCGACACTTCCCCTCAATGACATACACCACCAAAGGCCCCACTCTCCTTTAAAACCTCAGTCTCCAGGTGGCTGGATACATCACATGGTCTGCAAACAAATAATAACACATTTTAGGAAATGTTTAGATCATTTACTTTGGGAAACAATTCAAAGATTTTGTGTTTGAAGTTTCAGACCATAAACTGCACAAGTTATTTATTGTGCAAAACAGACACCACTTGCACACTGTTCGTAGTCCAAATACAAAAAATAAGTGCATCGCAAAGTGGGTTTTTAAATGGAAACTCATAGAAACCCACCCTGAGAAGATCACCCACAAAGTCAGAGCAGATCCAAGAGTATTTCATTCTTGAATGCTAAAAAGTTTGGCGTTAATTTTTAAGGAATTAGAGCTTTTAAACTGGACGCCCAGTTAAAGGCACGGTTTGACTTTTTCATTTGTGCGTAACATGATTTTATTTCTGTCTTTGTTTGAATTTTTAAATGTTTAGTTAGTTAAAGGTTTTTTTGTGTAACGGTACATTAATTAATGGTACCATCAGTCAATTGAAGTTTATACAGTGAATATCAGAATGTGTAGAAACATTACACAGATCATCTCTAATACACATTTAGCGGAAACTAGCTAACCAGTATATAAAGGACAGTCATATGTGGTACATGACTCAAGAGCAGTCTATTAGTGTAGTCTTCTCATCTATCCAAGTAGGAAATGACATGAAAATGTCGTCAGCACTATGTGAAGTTATAGAGTTTGGGTTAAAAGTTTTTTTCATTTGTTTTGTGCCATTTTCCATAGTACTACCAAACATAATGCTTAATCTGAGCCAAACTGTTCATGTAGTGACAAGTTTTATGTTATACAGTAGTTGTAGAAAGGCACACATTAAGGCTACTTCATATTTGCTCGCTAGCCATAGCCTTGCCTCTTGTATAAAGAAAAAAAAAAGAACACAGCCACACATTTCTCAACATGACGTTAATATGTGCAGGATCATATATTTTCGTGAAGTTTGTAGCTTGAGAATGGCCATAGTAGTTATACTGATATTATTATGACGTAATTTTTTATTAGATTTTTTTTTAAACATTAGGTCTTAGCATATTTACCATAAAGTGCATGTTTTCAACCATAGAAAATGTTAAACTTTTTTCCCCCATACTTCATAAAACTTAAGAATAAATACAAGTATAGTCTACTTTGTTCAATAAAATAAAAATTTGAATAATTATCAAGTGTTTCAGAAACTGACAATTGATAATAAGTAGGTAAAGACACACACTGTACCAATAATATGGCAGATTTTGAAAGATTGGAGGATGTACGGATGAGTTTTGAAAAAGAGCTGTAATAATGACTTGAATTATTCTATGAATCAAACCACTGTCTCTGTATTTTGAATATTTATTTTGTCATTTTTTTTAAACTTTGCTTTTTTTAGTCTAACCAATTTGTGTTTATTCAGTTCTTTTCTAGAAACCTTGAAGCATTTCAAGTGGCTTAGAAATAGTGTGACTTTTGTAATTGTTAAAATCCAAGCCTAAAAATGTGGTAAAAACAGACATTCAGAGGTGATGCTGTGAGAACTTCACATTTTATGTGCATATAGAGGTTGTTGCAAATAAAAAATGAATTGTTTTGGTGTTTCCTTTTTGATTCATTTTTGCATTTCATTTCAAGGATTTGTTGACATTATATTATCTTTATGCACAGTTTGACTATTGTTAAACTCTTCATGTTCATCTGTGTAAAATACTTCTCTATTCCATTATATTATCAAGAAGTCATTTTCTTTTAGGCTTTCTGTGTGCCCTTAGCAATTATAGTAAAGTCTCATACAAATTTACAGACCAGTTTGTTTAGAATTACTTGTTCTTATATTGCAAAAAAAAAAAAAAAATATGAATAACTGAAAAAGTTGACACATTTGTTGGCCACCATGTAGGTTTATAGACGGGGTGGGGTTTTGTCTGCTCTCTCACTCCAGGCAGGTCAAAGTGCTAATGGCATTTCCCTGCCAATAGCTTGCTATAAATTCACAATTCGAAAATTAAACGGGGAAAAAATGTGTATGTTCTAAGCTAATACGGTAATATGCTCATTACTCAGCCAAGACTCTCTCTAAGCAAGTTGTAACATTGAATTAGGGAAAGCCTGCTTTTCATTGTTGCCTTCTGCAAAGGAAGAAAAAAAGCTGTGGCTCACTATATGATTTGAAGGAATCCCAGACACATTTTAAATGACAGCATTTAGTTTATGAGACATCAAGAAAATTATTTTAACCTCAGAGTTCTGTTTTAAAACTCTTAAGAATTTGAGCATCAGAAACAAAATACAATGACATATCTGCATGTCATCTACAGATTTCTTATTCATGACAGTCAATGCTTGAAATTTTTTTAAGGTATATATTTATTTATTTTAGATATAGATCTATATTAATTATATATGTATATACACACACACACACACACACACACACACACACACACACACACACACACACACGTGTACGTGTGTGTATATATGTATATACGTGACCCTGGACCACAAAACCAGTCTTAAGTCGCTGGGGTATATTTGTAGCAATAGCCAAAAAAACATTGTATGGGTCAAAATTATTGATTTTTCTTTTATGCCAAAAATCATTAGGATATTAAGTAAAGATCATGTTCCATTAAGATATTTTGTAAATTTCCTACTGTAAATACATCAAAACTTAATTTTTGATTAGTAATATGCATTGCTAAGAATTAATTTGGACAGATTTAAGTCCAGGGTCACATGTGTGTGTGTGTGTATATATAAATATATATCAACTAACTTCATAGTTTTATTCACATTCACTGTTTTTTTTTAATCCACTATTTATCACCATCTATTTTTTTCCACTATCTGACCCAGCATAATTATATATATATATATATTACCCCAGTGTACTTCAATGAAGTTAGTTGAAAGAATGACCAGAGCGTTTTGATGAAAAAGAGCAGGTGTGTCCAAATGTTTGACTGGTAATGTACAGCTGGTGCTTAAAAAGTTGTAGGCCTATTTAGCCTACATTGTATTAGATTGTAGAAAAAGCCAATCTCAGTGCTTGGACATAGTCAGGACAATAAGTCACAGTACAGTCGCTACATTATAACTATTTTTGCACCTAAATTTATAACTTATTCTGGCTTTCATTTGTGAAATGATGGAACATTTAGCTTGAAGATTAAGACCAAGTTAGAACAATTTATATTGACTTTAACTAAAATACTTAGTGTAAGTATTTAAGTAAAATTATTTAGACACTTAAGTCACAGTTAACGTATTAAATAAAATCCATGAATATGATTACATAAAATATCCAACAAGTTAGCACTTATGTTTAAGTGTATAAACATCACAAGCCTAACATTTAACTCAAAAAAAATTAGGTTTTAATTTAAAAAAGACAAAACATGAAATAAAATGTTCAAACTTAAGACAAACGTCTTTTGGTTATCTGCTAGGAAACGTGTGAACTTGGAGCTAACTGAGACTTCAAAACAAGTTAGCCTATAGTCTTAAGGAAATGTTTTGTAAATTATTAAAATAACTGAAAAACGGCCCAGGAAAAAAAGTTATTTTGAGAGGAGCTTTAGCAATATGTGTTTGCAGATGCAACTTGTTATGGTATTTTGTTATTCCCATGACATGTATCAGTGTGAAATAGCCTACATCTAGGGCCACAGTAAATAAGCAATATCTTTTTTTATTAGCGTATTATTTGTATTATATGACATAATTCGTTCGCATTCGACCTCTTACAGTGTCCTCATTGAACTCTGACTGAATCAGAGTTAGAGTTAAAATTAACCCGCATTGCCCAAGAGCGCACTCACACACTGAATCCCTTCATTTCAGCTCGCGCCAGGACGCCGCGTGTCAGGCCAGCTTCGGACTTCCGCTGCTTCTCCGCAAAGCGACGAACTACAATAAACAAACTGTACTGAAACCCCAAACTGAAGTAAGGTCTAAACACCTGCAGTCCTCAGCACTTTATAATGCGGCTTATGGCCACCTTAAAATAATAACAGACTACTCTAGGCCTATTTATTATCGACACATTTTATTTCCTCGAGACCGTAAATAATAATACACTAAAGTACGTTTGAAATAACAGAGGTTTAAAACATGGCAACGCTGCTATAACTGTTTGTTTTCCTCAACACAGGCCCGGAATCAGAAAATGGCATCTAAAAAGCAGAGTTTACTGAGAGAAGCGTCTCATCAGATCATAGCGGGCGGGTCTGCAGGTAAGTTAAGTTAAGACGCGCTTCTAGTTTCTATTTCACACAGTCCACAAACTTTGTTTACTAACTCGTAAAGTGTCGCATTCCACACCAGTTAGCAGACACTCAAAACCGCGTTGAAGTCCGTGAAGTACCTTTTGTCAGGTTTTTTGTAGTACATGCTGTTTACATGAAAAAAATATGTTTAGTATTAAGTAATCATTTTAAAGTCGATAGATGCCAGAGACATAACCCGGATGTCTGTCTTGAGAGGTACGCGGGATACACGCGCACTTCAGTTAGTTCCGTTTACAAATCGTTCCCTCAGAGTTCAAGACGCTTCTCTTTTGGGCTATGTGTAATAGACCCCTGACAAAAATGAAAATGTTTATTTAGCTCATCCGTGTTATGCTTACATGATAGGTTTACGCTAAAATACCATCTAACGTTACGTGTCTATAAGAACCATAAGAGTGATTCATGAGTTTTTTAAACGCAACGCTAGAGAGACGCGAAGCAACAGCCAAGACGCCCATGTGATGCATATATACAGTTGTATATATTGTTTTATTAAGCGTTTTATGTAACACATACTGCATGCGGAACGGAAGTCTGCACTCTGCACATTTGTAAAAAGCATGATGCCAACTGCTTTCCACAGGTTTCATTATGCATTTTGAGCTCGTCAAAATGTATTGGCGTAGAAATAGGAAAATCAACTCATGAAGAGTTCTTTAACGAGAAAGAACTGGTGTAGTGGCGCTTGACTGTATTTTTTGTGTCATTACAGACAGTCAGTGTTGGATCAAAATCTTTTTTTTTTTTTTTTGAGGTTCTATTGCTTATATGATGTCTACCTTTCATAAAGGCTATTTTAAGAGTGACAATGAAGGATTTTGAACTTTAGGTTCCACATCAAGAAATAAATGAAAGCGCCCTTTTCACTTGGTGTTAAATTTTAACATCCTTTGAACTTTGCATCATATTTAGCAGTGATTTAGGACTTTTCTTTTTCTTTCTTTCTTTCTTTCTTTCTTTCTTTCTTTCTTTCTTTCTTTCTTTCTTTTCTTTCGCTCTTTCTCTATATCTCACATCCTTTGTCATATTTATCATTGATTTATTATTTTTTTCTTTCTTTCTTTCTTTCTTTCTTTCTTTCTTTTCTTTCTTTCTTCAGTAGAATAACCCAGATTTATTAGCTTGCACCCCCTGCACTTGTCATATTCCCCCCAGCAGCCTGTTAACGAGGCTGGGTAGAGTGAAATGTTAATTGATGTATGACCTGGTCACAGGGATTGGATCAGGTCTGTGCTTGGCTTCTCTCGGGTTTGGACTGACTCTCCAAAACTGCTTTTTTTTCCCCCTCTGAAGGCCACAAGAGTTAATGTCACTGCAGTGCATTTTATATATCCTACCAGGACTCGTTTCACAGCCTTTCCATTCAGGGATATACAAAGAAAATGGGGCATGTGTTAAAGGCTGAAACCGGGGAGAGTTTAAGCTGTAGCTAATAATAACCGAGTAAATCATATGAGGTTGAGTTTTTGAATCTACCACAAGGGGGGAGCATTGTACTTGGCATTGGTGGTAGTCACAGAGCATTTTTTTTCAAGCTCTTTGGAAATGTAGCAGATGTGACTATCATCCTGTGACAGTCCATCTTTTGCAAGAGAAGCTTAATGCACCAGAATTATTTGAAAAATATATAATGTAATTAATTTGACTCCAAACTTAAAAATAAAAATAAAAATTCCATTCTATCCTTCAAGCACTACCTCTTTCAGGAGTAAATTAAGTAATTTTTAAGCTTTATAAGCACACT